GTATATATATGTGGGTTTGTGCATGCGTTGTAATGTATATTTGGGCCTTTTTTGGCTTTTTAAGTCTCTTCTGCTATGTTTTTCAGTATTTTTATGAGTGATGGTCACTTGTTGGCTGATAAGTGTATTGTGTCCAAATTTGTTGTCAATTCGTCCAGTAGTTTTGGAGTTACGTTAATCCCACAAACTAACATTACATTTTTATTTATATAAATACTAGCCGTCCCCTGCCACGCATTGCTGTGGCCCACTCTGATGGTCATGGGGGTTCTGTGTGGGAGGTTTGGCCCAATTCTATTGTTGGTGGGGTTCAGAATGCTCTGTGATTGTAGATGAACTATAAATCCCAGCAACTACAACTCCCAAATGTGAAGATCCCTAAACTCCACCAGTGTTCACATTTGGGCATATTGAGTATCCGTGTAGAGTTTGGTCCAGATCCATCATTGTTTGAGTCCACAGTGCTCTCTGGATGTAGGTGAACTACAACTCCAAAACCAAAGGACACTGCCCACCAAACCCTTCCAGTATTTCCTGTTGGTCATGGGAGAACTGTGTGCCAAGTTTGGTTCAATTCCATCGTTGATGGGGTTCGGAATGTTCTTTGATTGTAGGTGAACTATAAATCCCAGCAACTACAACTCCCAAATGACAATTTTTTTTTTTTGAGTGAAGGACATAAATAGCTTTTGGGGGCTTTTAAAGTCCCTTCTGCTGTGTTTTTCAGTGTGAGTGAAGGACATACAGTATATTCTGGCGTATAAGACTACTTTTTAACCCAAGAAAATCTTCTCAAAAGTCAGGGGTCGTCTTATACATGGGAGTCGTCTTAACTCTATATTTTAACTGGAAAAGTTGGGGGTCGTCTTATACGCCCAGTCGCCTTATATGCCGGAATATATGGTACATTGGGTTGTTAGGTGTCTTGTGTCCAAATTTGGTGTCAATTCGTCCAGTGGTTTTTGAGTTCTGTTAATCCCACAAACGAACATGACGTTTTTATTTATATAGATTCTTATTGCAATGATTTCTTTACTGACTTAAAATATGACTTGAGTCCTTGTGGACAACAAGTTAAACATGAGCCAGGAATGTGATGTGGCGGCAAAAAAAGCCAATGGGATTTTGGCCTGCATCAAGAGGAGCCTAGTGTCTAGGTCCAGGAAAGTCATGCTCCCCATACTCTATTCCGCTTTGGTTAGACCACTTTACCTGGAATATTATGTATCCAATTCTGGGCACCACAATTCAAGAGAGATATTGACAAGCTGGAATGTGTCCAGAGGAGGGCGACTAAAATGATCAAGGGTCTGGAGAACAAGCCCTATGAGGAGCGGCTTAAGGAGCTGGGCATGTTTAGCCTGAAGAAGAGAAGGCTGAGAGGAGATATGATAGCCATGTATAAATATGTGAGAGGAAGCCACAGGGAGGAGGGAGCAAGCTTGTTTTCTGCTTCCTTGGAGACTAGGACGCAATGGAACAATGGCTTCAAACTACAAGAGAGGAGATTCCATCTGAACATTAGGAAGAACTTCCTGACTGTGAGAGCCGTTCAGCAGTGGAACTCTCTGCCTCGGAGTGTGGTGGAGGCTCCTTCTTTGGAAGCTTTTAAGCAGAGGCTGGATGACAGGGGATGTCAGGGGTGATTTGAATGCAATATTCCTGCTTCTTGGCAGAATGGGGTTGGACTGGATGATGGCCCAGGAGGTCTCTTCCAACTCTTTGATTCTATGTTCAGCAGTGGAACTCTCTGCCCCGGAGGGAGTGTGGTGGAGGCTCCTTCTTTGGAAGCTTTTAAACAGAGGCTGGATGGCCATCTGTCAGGGGTGATTTGAATGCAATATTCCTGCTTCTTGGCAGAATGGGGTTGGACTGGATGGCCCATGAGGTCTCTTCCAACTCTTTGATTCTATGATTCTATGTAAATTATCTGTGGACATTCTGCAATTGCAACTATATGTAAATTGCCCCCAGAAGACCCCATGATAGAATTGCCTGAGGGTCATCATCATCTGTGATAGGTTTGCCTTAGGGTAGCCATGAAATAGAAAGCACGCGAAGGCATGCAACAACAGCAACCATCACACTGGGTCACCTTCTTCCAGGAAAAAGTCATTTTGGAATTCACTAGCCGTTGGTTCTCTTCACATTTCCATCCAGCTGGACGTTTCTGAGTCACCCCGGTGGGCAAAGGTCTACCTCAGTTCATCCTTGAAGAGGGCATGAATCAGGGAGCAGGTTTTGCCGCCAGCCTTTTCTGATTTATGTCTATTGATTTTTTTTTTATTTAATGGAAGAAACAGAAACACTCTGTGCCAAAGAAAAAGTGCAGTATTGGCTCAGCAAAGCCTTTGGGCCATCGACTCCCACCCACACAATGGATGAAGATGGAGTGAATGAACGGCGGGCCTGGTTTCATCCTCCAAGGAAGTCCAAGATGGAAACCACTGAGGTACCCTTTCCAGAAAGAACAGGGAAGGTGTTTTTGCAATCTCCCTCTTTTCTTCTATTTAATTCCTTTCCAGAAAGCAAAAAGGAAACTGATCTTGCTGTTCCTTACTCTGCAGACTACATTCGTTGTTATTGCTTATTTACATATCTGCTTTTCCTCTGGAATTCCCCTGCTTTTTCATAGAATCATAGAATCAAAGAGTTGGAAGAGACCTCATGGGCCATCCAGTCCAACCCCCTGCCAAGAAGCAGGAATATTGCATTCAAATCACCCCTGACAGATGGCCATCCAGCCTCTGCTTAAAAGCTTCCAAAGAAGGAGCCTCCACCACAATCCGGGGCAGAGAGTTCCACTGCTGAACGGCTCTCACAGTCAGGAAGTTCTTCCTAATGTTCAGATGGAATCTCCTCTCTTGTAGTTTGAAGCCATTGTTCCGCGTCCTAGTCTCCAAGGAAGCAGAAAGGAAGCTTGCTCCCTCCTCCCTGTGGCTTCCTCTCACATATTTATACATGGCTATCATATCTCCTCTCAGCCTTCTCTTCTTCAGGCTAAACATGCCAGCTCCTTAAGCTGCTCCTCATAGGGCTTGTTCTCCAGACCCTTGATCATTTGAGTCGCCCTCCTCTGGACACATTCCAGCTTGTCAATATCTCTCTTGAATTGTGGTGCCCAGAATTGGACACAATATTCCAGGTGTGGTCTAACCAAAGCAGAATAGAGGGGTAGCATTACTTCCTTAGATGTAGACACTATGCTCCTATTGATGCAGGCCAAAACCCCATTGGCTTTTTTTGCCGCCACATCACATTGTTGGCTCATGTTTAACTTGTTCTCCACGAGGACTCCAAGATCTTTTTCACACGTACTGCTCTCGAGCCAGGCGTCCCCCATTCTGTATCTTTGCATTTCATTTTTTCTGCCAAAGTGGAGTATCTTGCATTTGCCACTGTTGAACTTCATTTCTGACTGATGCTCTTTGTTTACTGTCCTGATTTTAGAGTTTTAAAAAACTGCTTGCCAGAATTTGTCTATCTTCATGGTGTTCTCCTTTCTGTTGAAATTGTCCACATGCTTGTGGATTCCCCCAGGCAGGAAGCAGCCAGGCTTTGAAGTTACAAGACCATTCAATATTAATCAAGGTGGCCAACTGCAACATTCACACCTGCCTCAAACAGACAAAAGTACTTTCTGCCACCCTGGACATTCCATGGATATATACATCCCATTTTCCTCGTTTCCAACAGACCTCACAATGTATTGTCAAAGGCTTTCATGGCTGGAATCCCTGGGTAGCTGTAAGTTGTCCAGGGTGTATAGCAATGTTCCAGAAGCATTCTTTCCTGACGTTTCACCTGTATCTATGGCAGGCATCATCACAACCTCTGAGGATGCCTGCCACAGATGCAGGCGAAACCTCAGAAGAAAATGCTTCTGGAACATGGCCATACAGCCCGGAAAACTCACAGCAACCCAGACTTCACAACCTCAAGGGATGCCTGCCATAGATGTGGGGGAAACCTCAGAAGAAAATGCTTCTGGAACATGGCTATATAGCCCAGAAAACATACAGCAACCCAGACCTCACAACCTGTGGGGATGCCTGCCAGAGATGCAGGTGAAACCTCAGGAGAAAATGTTTCTGGCACATGGCCAGGCAGCCTGGAAAACTTACAGTAACCCAGACCTCACAACTACTGGGGATGCCTGCCATAGATGTGGGTGAAACCATTGGAACATGGCCATACAGCCTGGAAAACTCACAACAATCCAGACCACACAACCTCTGGGGATGCCTGCCACAGATGCAGGTGAAACATCAGGAGAGAATGCTTCTGGAATATGACTATACAGTCCGGAAAACTCACAGCAACCTAGACCTCACAACCTCTGGGGATGCCTGCCATAGATGTGGGTGAGACCTCTGAAACGTGGCCATACAGCCTGGAAAACTCACAGCAACCCAGACCACACAACCTCTGAGCATGCCTGCCTCAGATGCAAGTGAAACATCAGGAGAGAATGCTTCTGGAATATGACTATACAGTCCGGAAAACTCACAGCAACCTAGACCTCACAACCTCTGGGGATGCCTGCCATAGATGTGGGTGAGACCTCTGAAACGTGGCCATACAGCCTGGAAAACTCACAGCAACCCAGACCACACAACCTCTGAGCATGCCTGCCTCAGATGCAGGTGAAACATCAGGAGAAAATGCTTCTGGAACATGGCCAAACAGCCCAGAAAACTCACAGAAACCCAGACCTCACAACCTCTGGGGATGCCTGGCATAGATGTGGGTGAAATCTCTGAAACGTGGCCATACAGCCCGGAAAACTCACAGCCATGGAAGCCTTCGACAACACATTAAAACAAAGAAATGAACTGAAATGGCAAAGTGGAGGTTGGCTTTTGGGTGGAGACACCAAAGAATGTTGCCAAGCCGCGGATGATGGGGTCTGTCGAGGCAGGGCCCGTGGAAAGGGAGGGCTGGGGCTCCAGGCGTCCCTCCCCCTCCCGTTTCTCAACGGGAGTCTTTGAGAGGGAAGGGAAGGAAGAGAAGGAAGAGAAGGAAGAGAGGGAGGCGAGGCTGCCTCCTCCTGCGCGCAAAGAGGCCTCTGGCTCCGTGGGGCGAAGAGCAGGGAAAAGGGGAAGGAGGCACCGGCGAGGAGGGGCCGGAGGGGCCTGGGGGAGGGACTCCGAAGCCGAGACCGACCCGCCTCGGGCACCGGCAGCCGGAGCCAGCCGAGCCGAGCCTTTGCGTCCTGGAGCGGAGGAGGCGCACGGAGACAGAGAGACTTGGAAGCAGCCGCCTTTCTCCTCTTCGGAGCCTTTCCTCTCCTTCCTTTCCTCTTTCTCCACCATCCAGGCAACCTTGGGAGTCTTCCCTCTCTCCCTTCTTCCATTGGCTCGAGCCACACTCACGCCCGAGCCCCCCAAAACCCACCCTATTGTTTCCCTCCGGAGTGCTGCTCGTTTGCTGCTTTCGTGCGGCGTTGGATACCCATCGGAGGGATATTTTGGGACCCTCCTGCTCCGAAGAAGAGGCTCTTCAGGGGGGCTAAGGACCAAAGAAGGGCCCCTTCCTCAATCTTCCCACCCAGAAGGTAAGTCTCGCCCTTTCTCTCTGCCTCTGTGTGTGTTTGTGTGTGTGAGTCTCTCTCTCTCTGGCGCGTGTTGGCCGGCAATGGCGAAACTTTCCTCCCAACTTGGAGAGGGGAAGGGGGGACCTCGGGAAAGCGGTCCAAAAAGACCCTTTCCCCTTTCGGATCGGGGTTTTCGAGGCACCCCTAGTTAGAGCTGGGTCCCCTCTTCTTTCCCCACCGACCCAAAGCTTGGTCCCACTCTTCCTTCCCCCCACAAAAGGGGAAAGAAGCCACGGCGGCCTTGGGAGGAGAGAGAGAGAGAGGAGCGGGCAAACTTCCCGCGGCTTTCCAGCTGCGCCAGGTTCGCCATCGCCCCCGGCGTCGGGCGCTTGGCGTTGCAAGGCCAGCCAGGAGCAGGAAACAGGCCCCTTCTCTTCCTCTCTTTCCCCGGAGGTGCCCACGGAAGGTGGGGAAGGGGGTGGCGAGGCAACTTTGGGGGGCGCAAAGCAGGAAGGGAGCTGGCTGCAAGGAGAGACGCGGCCAGGGCGCACGGAAACCTCCATCGGTTTGGAGCAAGAAGCGTTTCTTTCCACCTTGGATGCTGTTTCAGACCTGGAAGGGGAATCAGGACCAGCTAGTCACCTCCCAACAAAGGATCCCCCCCCCCCCCCCCCCCAGGCAGTAAGAAGCCAGGCCTTGAAAGAAGCCACACCTTGAAGTTAAATGGTAATCAAGGTGGCCAACTGAAGCATTCACACCTTCCTCTAACAGGCAAGAGTTCTTTCTCCCACCCTGGACCTTCCACAACCAGGCTTTGAAGCTGCAAGGCCATTCAATGCTAATCAAGGTGGCCAATTGCAACATTCACACTTGCCTCCAACAGACAAGAGTTCAGTTCTTGTGGGTTTTTTCGGGCTATATGGCCATGTTCTAGAGGCATTTCTCCTGACGTTTTGCCTGCATCTATGGCAAGCATCCTCAGAGGTGAGGTCTCAGACCTCACCTCTGAGGATGCTTGCCATAGATGCAGGCGAAACGTCAGGAGAAATGCCTCTAGAACATGACCATATAGCCCGAAAAAACCCACAAGAACTGAGTGATTCCAGCCATGAAAGCCTTCGACAAGACAAGAGTTCTTTTCTCCCACAACCAGGCTTTGAAGCTGCAAGGTCATTCCATGCTAATCAGGCTGGCCAACTGAAACATTCACACTTGCCTCCAACAGACAAGAGTTCTTTCTCCCACCCTGGACCTTCCACAACCAAGCTTTGAAGCTGCAAGGCCATTCAATGCTAATCAAGGTGGCCAGCTGCAACATTCACACTTGCCTCCAACAGACAAGAGTTCTTTCTCCCACCCTGGACCTTCCACAGCCAGGCTTTGAAGCTGCAAGGCCATTCACTGCTAATCAAGGTGGCCAATTCCAACATTCACACTTGCCTCCAACAGACAAGAGTTCAGTTCTTGTGGGTTTTTTCAGGCTATATGGCCATGTTCTAGAGGCATTTCTCCTGACGTTTTGCCTGCATCTATGGCAAGCATCCTCAGAGGGAGTGAGGAACTCTGAGGATGCTTGCCATAGATGCAGGCAAAACGTCAGGAGAAATGCCTCTAGAACATGACCATATAGCCCGAAAAAACCCACAAGAACTGAGTGATTCCAGCCATGAAAGCCTTCGACAAGACAAGAGTTCTTTTCTCCCACAACCAGGCTTTGAAGCTGCAAGGCCATTCCATGCTAATCAAGCTGGCCAACTGAAACATTCACACTTGCCTCCAACAGACAAGAGTTCTTTCTCCCACCCTGGACCTTCCACAACCAAGCTTTGAAGCTGCAAGGCCATTCAATGCTAATCAAGGTGGCCAGCTGCAACATTCACACTTGCCTCCAACAGACAAGAGTTCTTTCTCCCACCCTGGACCTTCCACAGCCAGGCTTTGAAGCTGCAAGGCCATTCACTGCTAATCAAGGTGGCCAGTTCCAACATTCACACTTGCCTCCAACAGACAAGAGTTCTTTCTCCCACCCTGGACCTTTCACAGCCAGACTTTGAAGCTGCAAGGCCATTCAATGCTAATCAAGGTGGCCAATTGAAACATTTGTACCTCAAATAGACAAGAGTGCTTTCTCCCACTCTGGACATTCCAACATACCTCACAACCTCTGAAGATGCCTGCCATAGATGTTGGCAAAATGTCAGGAGAGAATGGTTCTGGAAACATGGCCAGACAGCCTGGAAAACTCACAACAACCCCAGTGATTCCGGCCATGAAAGCCTTCAATATCAGAATCAGGGTCAGCTAACACCTCTCTACAAAGGATTTCCCCATGCAGGAAGCAGCCAGGCTTTGAAGTTGCAAGGCTATTCAGTGCTTATCAGTGTAGCCAATTACAACAATCACACTTGCCTCCAACATTCAAGAGTTCTTTCTCCCACCCTGGACATTGTTACACAGATATATAAACCCCACTTGCCTAGTTTCCAACAGACCTCACAACCTCTGAGGATGCCTGCCATAGATGTGGGTGAAACATCAGGAGAGAATGCTTCTGGAACATGGACACAGCCCAGAAAACTCACACCAACCCAGTTATTCTGGCCATGAAAGCCTTCAACAATAGAATCAGGGTCAGCTCACACCTCCCTATAAAGGATTTCCCCAGACAGGAAGCACCCAAGCTTTGAAGCTGCAAGGCTATTCAGTGCTTATCAGTGTAGCCAATTACAACAATCACACTTGCCTCCAACATTCAAGAGTTCTTTCTCCCACATTGGACATCGTTACACAGATATATAAACCCCATTTGCCTAGTTTCAAACACACCTCACAACCTCTGAGGATGCCTGCCATAGATGTGGGCAAAACATCAGGAGAGAATACTTCCCAAACATGGCCATACAGCCTGGAAAACTCACAGCAGCCCAGTCAAAGCACTCCCCACAGATGCCTATCCAGCCCTTGTTTAAAAACCTCCAGGGAAGGCATCTCCACTGCACTCCATGGGCACTTATTCCACATCAGTCCCTAGTCAGGAAATTGTGCCTAATATTTAGATGGAATCTCCGTTCCCATCTGTTTGGATCCATTGCATGGTATCTTAGTCACTAGAGCAGTGTTCTCAACCTTCCAAACGCCGCGACCCCTTAATACAGCTCCTCATGTTGTGGGACCCCCAACCATAAAATTATTTTTGTTGCTACTTTATAAATGTAATTTTGCTACTGTTATGAATCATAATGTAAATATCTGTATGCAGGATGTACTTTCATTCACTGGGCCAAATTTGGCACAAATACCCAATACACCCAAATTTGAATACTGGTTGGGTTGAGGGTGAAATTTGGCACAAATACCCTAAATGCCCAAATGTGAACACTGGTGGTATTGGCAGCGGGGCGCAGGGGGGTTGGGGATATTGAATTTGAATACTTGTGGAGGGTTTGAATTTGTCATTTGGGAGTTGTAGTTGCTGGGATTTATAGTTCACCTACAATCAAAGAGCATTCTGAACTCCACCAATGATGGAATTGAATCAAACGTGGCACACAGAACCGCCATGGGCAACAGAAAAGACTGGAAGGGTTTGATGGGCATTGATCTTGAATTTTTGAGTTGTAGTTCACCTGCATCCAGAGAGCACTGTGGCCTCAAACAATGATGGATCTGGACCCAACTTGGCACAGATACTCAATATGCCCAAATGTGAGTGCTGGTGGAATTTGGGTAAAATAGACCTTAACATTTGGGAGTTGTAGTTGCTAGGATTTATACTTCACTGAAAATCAAAGATCGTTCTGAACTCCACCAGTGATGGAATTGAACCAAACTTGGCACACAGGACTCCCTTGACCAACAGAAAATACAGAAAGGGTTTGTTGGGCATTGACCTTGAGTTTTGGAGCTGTAGTTCACCTACATCCAGAGAGCACTGTGGACTCAAACAATGATGGATCTGGACCAAGCTTGGCACAGATACTCAATATGCCCAAATGTGAGTACTGGTGGAATTTGGGTAAAATAGACCTTGATATTTGGGAGTTGTAGCTGCTGGGATTGAAAGGGTTTAATGGATGCAATGCCTCAGCAAAAGCTGCAGTTCTATAGAAGCGGGTGTGCCTGTAGAGTAGTAGGCCTCTGTGTTAGTTTGCCTCAGTTGGAGAAAGGTCTCAGTCTGTGATTTTGTCATTTGAGAGTTGTAGTTGCTGGGATTTATAGTTCACCGAAAATCAAAGAGAATTCTGAACTCGACCAATGATGGAATTGAATCAATCTTGGCACTTAGAACTCTCATGATGAACAAAAAATACTGAAAGGGTTTAGTGGACATTGACCTTGAGTTTTAGAGTTGTAGTTCACCTACATCCAGAGAGCACTGTGGACTCAAGCAATGATGGATCTGTTTCGTGCGGTTTTCTTTGCAAGATTTGTTCAGAACAGGCTTTCCTTTGCCTTCTTTTAAGGCTGAGAGACTCTTAAGATGGATATAGACGTAAAGAAGTGAAAGCAAAGCCTTTGCTTGCATTCCTCTCTTGTTTCCTTGCGTCTTCCTTCCTCTCTGTAATCCCAGAGATTGCCTTTGAACAGCACCAGCCGCAACGAAGGAAGTGTGCAAGTAGCAACAGTTTGAATGCACTTGGTTTAGTTATACTGGAGTAACGCATACTCAGCGGAAAGGATGTGATGTTGGATTTGCAACTCATGTTGACGCAAGAAATGGACTTTGCTGCGTGTTGGAGATGAAAATCTCGTTGTCCTGGGAAGAAGAGGCCGCCTGGATCTGCGAGGCAAGTGTTTGGGTGCCTTCCTTCTTTGCTGAGCTGCTGAAATCCATACCTGTTTGCTTTTTGCTTCCCGAGGTTGGTTGGCTTAGGGAAGAATGCAGCTCCTTTCTCAGCCTGCTTGGCTCGAAGCACAGATTTGGCTTCGGGAGGCATTTGTGGGCAGGAGGGAACGTCCTTGTGTGCTGCAAAAAGCAGTATGTGAATGCCTGCCTGTCGAAATATGGCGACCCCAGTGCT